CTGGTGCATGTACGTTAGATAAATACATGAGTGGGTGTGGGTGGGTGTGAGTTGGACCTGACTAGCTTGTGCTGCTGGGTCTGGTGCCGTGCTCCTTCCTTGAGTGGAGGTGACCAGACTAGGAGGGTCATTGGGCTAATCCGGGGGGGACATGGACCTGCTCCGCATGGGTCAGTGGGCCTGTTGCAGTGTTCCTTCTTTCTTATGTTCTTATGTGAGCACCGCCACTGGGGCATGTGAGCACCACCACTGATTCATGTGAGCACCACCACTGATGCATGCGAGCACCGCCACTGATTCATGTGAGCACCACCACTGGTGCATGTGAGCACCGCCACTGGTGGGCGTGAGTACCAGAACTGGTGCGTCTGATCACCGCCAGTGGTGGTCTTGTCCCGTATAATATCGTCCGCTGACTCGGTGGTTCGCCAGAGACAACCCTGCTAGCCTTGCATGTACATTGATCTTATTTGGTGTTCCACTATGGGAGAGAGAGAGAGAGAGAGAGAGAGAGAGTTGGAAGTTTCCACAGCAGTCTCCCGGATCTTCATCATATCTACCTCTACATCCTTCCTTTTGATCTTCAGCTTCGTTCCTTTCTGTCCAGTCACTGTCCAGCTTCCTTTCTTGACCTGAAGATTCACAACACGGGGATTACTACGAATCCTCTTGTTTTCCTCAACCAGTTGCTGTATCTCTAGCCTGGCCTCCTCCAGCTCCTCCTTAACCTACTGGTAGAGTTGCTTGATAGAGGGCATCATTGATCTAGTTCACAGAGAGCTCACAAAGTACGTCCTCATACGATATAGATCACTTCACACGATACAGATCACCTCACACGATACAGATCACCTCACACGATACAGATCACTTCACACGATACAGATCACCTCACACGATACAGATCACCTCACACAACTGAACCTATCTAAGAGCCTTAACATTTGGAACTCCTTTCCAGAAGATGCAAAACTTTCCCTATCTGCCACCTGCTTCAGATATATAGTTAAAAAGAACATCCATCATCTGACCTAAATTCTACATAAACTAATTTTGTTAAAGCCCAATTAATTAATATCAACCTTGTTTATCCATATATTAGTATTCATATTGCCGTTTTCACTACCAATATATTTCAACGTATGTGATAACCATTACAAACGTAAGAAATTGTTATAAAAAATCCCAAAATATCACGAATCATTATCTAAATTGCTAATGTCAAGGATTGCACTGTGTAATATTCATGTAAACTAACTTATTATTCAATAGTAATAAATTAATTTTATGGTTGTCTGGGACGCTCTGCATAACCAGGGACTTTCTGTAAAATATACCTGTAATGTCCACTAATCTTATATCATTAAGATAAAGATTATCATTATAATTATCATTGTCAATGACTAGTTGACCAGCTGGTGGAAGATGACACCTAGTTCAACTTAAAAAGTGTACTCCATGTGAGCTATGAACACTAGGGGCTACGTAGGGTATGTGGCAGAAGTGTATGGGTGCTCCGAGACGCAGGTCGTAGGAATGCTGGATAGGAAGATGAGAGTCAGTGACGTCAGAGGTGCAAGGAGGAGTGAAAGGGTAAGCGGAGGAGGAAGGAGTCGAGTCGTCAGTAACAAGAGCGTCTGGCAGGTCATGCTGTCTGGACACTGCTTCCTGAGTGTGGCCCCGGCCTGAGTGTTGTCCATGATCTTGTGGCCAGCGTGCGCGTCCTTGGTTTTCCCTGTGGACTTGCAATTTGTGCATACCTGGGTCCTGGCTGTGTTTTTTTTACCATAACCTTACATCCATCCTTGATTTTACCTACCTTGGCAGACGTATTACGAGCCACCGTGTTCTGAGGAACACGCTGGAACAATAATTAGGTACAAGCACCTTAACTTCACCGAGGTCATCTACGCCGTCGTGAGGCCGTGGACTCATTGCAAGAAGAGTTTAGAGTGCACTAAACTTTCGGAATTGCCTCATTCCACGTGGTGCATACACTGCTGACTGTGACATATAAGACGTCAAGTATCTTACGCTTTATGTGCTCGATAAGGCAGTTAATGGCGAGATAACCTACTCTATCTGGAGCTTAGTGAATGCCAAACCTGGCGCAGAGAACATTCCTGATATCAGTGATGAATTGTGTACCAAGAAGAGACAAGAGAACACGAGAACAATCATGATGTGAGATGACACTGGAGGACAGGAGAAATAGGGGGGACATGATAATGACATAAAATACTGAGATTAACTGACAAGGTGGATAGCGACAGAATGTTTCAGAGATGGGACAAAGCAACAAAGGGTCACAGCTGGAAGTTGAAAACTCAGATGAGTCACAGAATACGTTCACCGAACAGGTTAGGTTAGGCATGGTTTGTAAAAAAACAGGACAAGTGTTTCCTGACGCGTGCTTAGTCATATGATGGCTTACCGGTTCATCCCTTTAAAAATTAAAGTTATATCACGGAACACTTCTGGTACTCTATGAACTGTTTGTTCTGAAATCGGTACCAACTCTGAGGATGTCGTTAGATTGTCAACTGTCTCACGAAATCGTAATGACACGATTGCAAACAAACCATACCAGTGGCTAACGCGACGGTCTGGAGTTTTGAGACTCTCTGACTGCGGGTTCTATCCCCACCCGTGGTATGATTTGATTGTCAACTGTCATTCGCAGGAGTGAATTACCTTTCTCAGAGAGAGAAATTCGTCAATAGGTCAATAGATCTTCTATCTTAAGGCTCCGAGGTGATGGTATACTGCAACACTAGCAGCAGCACAAGTGCAGCAGCACAACAAGAACTGCAGTAGAAGCAGTACAAAACTAAAGCACGACAGCAGCAGACACAAGAGCAGCACGAAATCAATAATAACAGCAGCAGCAGTAAGAGCAACCTAACAGAAGCAGCACAGCAGCAGCAGCAATACATCAACAGAACAGCAGAAGCAGCAAAATAGAAAGAGCACAACCGCAGCAGCACATCAGAAGCAGCAACAACAACATTACAACAGCAATATGGCAGCAAAAGAGCAGCAGGAGCAGTAAAGCAATAGCAGTACAGCAGCAGCAGTACAGCAGCAGCAGTACAATAGGAGCAGTAGCAGCTGTATAGTAGGAAAATCATAACAGCAGGAACAGTAATACAGTAGGAACAGCAGAATTTCCTGTATATGTTTTTATATATTTGCTGTGGCATTTTTATTTCCTGTGAGACTTCTTTATTTGCTGTGAATTTTTTCATCCAGCACTACCATACTTGTTGATAGTATCTGCCATTTTGTACTACCATACTTGTTGATAGTATCTGCCATTTTGTACTACCATACTTGTTGATAGTATCTGCCATTTTGTACTACCATACTTGTTGATAGTATCTGCCATTCTGTACTACCATACTTGTTAATAGTATCTGCCATTCTGTACTACCATACTTGTTGATAGTATCTGCCATTCTGTACTATCATACTTATTGATAGTATCTGCCATTCTGTACTACCATACTTGTTTTTAGTAGTAATAATAGTAGTGTTAAAGCTACTATTACTCTTAACACTACTATTACTATAATGTTAACTAGTACTGTTACTAAAACTATTACTACCACTCTCAACATTATTACTACCACTCTCAGCGCTATTACTACCTCTATCAACACTATTACTACCTCTATCAACACTATTACTACCTCTATCAACACTATTACTACCTCTATCAACACTATTACTACCTCTATCAACACTATTACTAACTCTATCAACACTATTACTACCTCTATCAACACTATTACTACCTCTATCAACACTATTACTACCTCTATCAACACTATTACTACCTCTATCAACACTATTACTACCTCTATCAACACTATTACTACCTCTATCAACACTATTACTACCTCTATCAACATTATTACTACCACTATCAACACTATTACTACCACTATCAACACTAATACTACCACTATCAACACTATTACTACCAAAATCAACACTATTTCTACCACTATCAACACTATTACTACCACTCTCAACACTATTACTACCACTCTCAACACTATTACTACCACTATCAACACTATTACTACCACTATCAACACTATTACTACCACTCTCAACACTATTACTACCACTATCAACACTATTACTACCACTATCAACACTATTACTACCACTCTCAACACTTACTACCACTATCAACACTATTACTACCACTATCAACACTATTACTACCACTATCAACACTATTACTACCACTCTCAACACTATTAAGAGGCAAAATATTAACAAACAAAACTGAGAACTTTAGCAGCGAGAAATAACAAAAATTTGAAACTTTACAAAATTAACGACAGCAAACAAAAGAAACAAAAAATATAAAAAAAAACACAATAATAAAAACATAATTAACATTAAAATACAACAACAACAATACCATAACTGTAACAAAGAGCATGATTAAATAATTTCCTTTTTATTTTACACTTTATGTCGTATACTTAACATATTACATTGTATTAGTTAGTTATAAAATATAAAAATGTATTTTCCATGATGTGTTATTGATAAATAATTATAGCTCCAAGAATCTATAATAATAATAATAATAATAATAATAATAACAATAATAATAATAAAAATAATAATCTTAATAATAACAATAATCTTAATAATAATAATAATCATAATAATAATAATAACAGTAACAATAATAATAATAATAACAATAATAATAATAGTAATAATAATAATAATAATAATAACAATAATAATAATAACAATAATAATAATAATAATAATAATAATAATCATAACAATAATAATAATAATAACAATATTAATAATAATAATATTAATAACAACAATAATAATAATAATAACAATAATAATAACAATAATAACAATAATAATAATAATAATAATAATAATAATAATAATAATAATAATAATAATAGTAATAATAATGATAATAATAATAATAATAATAATAATAATAATAATAATAATAATAATAATAAAGCACAGCATATATAGTGAAGAAAGGAACTCATGGTTGAGTGAATGCGTCAGGTCATCAAATTGTTGAGAAAACGCCAGTAACAGTATCCAGAGTAGTATGGGGATTCGTTATACATTGGAATAATTTTGTCATTCTCCTCTGAATGTTCTCCAATAAATTTATATCCATTTTGTAGTACTGACGACCAGAACTGAGCTGCATAATCCAAGTGAGACCTTACCAGTGGTATATAGAGTTGTAAATTATAAACCTTGGTGATTGATACACATAAATGGTTTAAAAAAACACGTAACCGAACACCAGGATATATTAGACTATTTTTTGACCAAGGTTGCTGGTCCCAAACGTTCTAATATGTTCTAATGTTTGCTTATGAGTCCGTTTTTTATAAACAAATTCCATGTGTATCATCTTTAGACTTAAGAACAAAAAAAAAATTATGTGGCAGAAATGAGAAGGATTCTAACTTTCCGCACGAATTCAGGAACACAAATGAGTTGACTACCACGGTGACACCAGCATCACTTATGTCGCACACGTCTTATGATGGCATCGCTGTACTGAAAATAAGATGATATCACCTACCGAGAACCCAACCTTCTCATTTTCGTCGAAAGTTGTATCTTGGCCTTTTATTTTGCCGAGTGTTATTGCAGGGGTGTTCAGGACTCATAATAAGCTTGCGCTTTGAAGGACGTACAGATGTGGCAAGCTCCACGGCGGGTTTCAACAACGCCTCCACGTGGCTTAGAAGATCTGGGAGTCTTGGCCGTTTTTTGGGGTTGGGATGTACCGAGGCACGAATCACTTTTGATAATTTTGGATTGTTATTGACTAGGCTTAGCAGTTTATTCTGGGAATTTAATAAATTTTCGATTAACACCCCAAAAGAAAATACATCAGTAGCATAAGTACTGGGTAAGTCCTTAAAGACCTCGGGGGCGTACCAGGGATACTCAGATGGTTCCCCGGTCATATCTATTTTTATCCCAGGCCTACAGGCTAAACCGTAGTCGATAATACTAATTTTGGGGTCACTGTTAAGTCCTTCTATCATAATATTGTTTTCCTTTAAGTCATTATGAACGAAATGTGCTTCGTGAATCTCCTGTAGTCTACATCCTATTTTATAAATTATGGCGAGGGCGTCTGAGCGGTTGTCCTGCACATCACTGAGACTTTTATCACCCTTAAACTCCATAACTATTGCTGGAGGATCCGTAAATGATCTTAATAGCCTTGGAGCACCTCCTTTCCCTTTCAGTGCTGAAAGGATTTTTTTTTCATCTTCTAAAGCCTCATAATCGAGAGAAGATTTAGCTCTTTTAAGAGCAGCTGGCGTCCCATTCCAGCTTACTAGAGCGACATCCCCATAACTTCCAGAGCCGAGAATCCTCAGCTTGTTATCCCAGAGGGAGTCAAAACTCACTCTTGCTGGTCTATCTCGATCCATCACTTCCTGATACAATGTTTACGAATTTATCACCGACGTTGGGTTATATAAACCACGAGTAAAAAAAACACTACTTTTCTTCCCAACACTCTTGGTCAGATCTTGAAACTATTTTTTCTCTTCGTCACTTGGTAAGAATCGCAAAACATTAATATTTTAGCTTAATTTAGTACTGATTTTAGTAGTAATAGTAAAGTTGACAATAATAGTGACATTGGAACAAATTATAGAAGTGACAATAATTGTGATAGTGGTGACAATGATATTGATAGTGATGATAATTATAGTGGTAACAATGATAGTGGTGATAGTGAGTGCCAGTAATAGTGTAATAGTGTCGAGACTAGTAGTAACAGTGAGACAAGTAGTATGGGGATTCGTTATACATTGGAATAATTTTGTCATTCTCCTCTGAATGTTCTCCAATAAATTTATATTCATTTTGTAGTACTGACGACCAGAACTGAGCTGCATAATCCAAGTGAGACCTTACCAGTGGTATATAGAGTTGTAAATTATAAACCTTGGTGATTGATACAGGTAAATGGTTTAAAAAAACACGTAACCGAACACCAGGATATATTAGACTATTTTTTGACCAAAGTTGCTGGTCCCAAACGTTCTAATATGTTCTAATGTTTGCTTATGTGTCCGTTTTTTATAAACAAATTCCATGTGTATCATCTTTAGACTTAAGACCAAAAAAAAAAAAAATATGTGGCAGAAATGGGAAGGATTCTAACTTTCCGCACGAATTCAGGAACACAAATGAGTTGACTACTACGGTGACACCAGCATCACTTACGTCACACACGTCTTATGAAGGCATCGCTGTACTGGAAATATGATGATATCACCTACCGAGAACCCAACCTTCTCATTTTCGTCGAAAGTTGTATCTTGGCCTTTCATTTTCCCGAGTGTTATTGCAGGGGTGTTCAGGACTCATAATAAGCTTGCGCTTTGGAGGACGTACAGATGTGGCAAGCTCCACGGCGGGTTTCAACAACACCTCCACGTGGCTTAGAAGATCTGGGAGTCTTGGCCGTTTTTTGGGGTTGGGATGTACCGAGGCACGAATCACTTTTGATAATTTTGGGTTGTTATTGACTAGGCTTAGCAGTTTATTCTGGGAATTTAATAAATTTTCGATTAACACCCCAAAAGAAAATACATCAGTAGCATAAGTACTGGGTAAGTCCTTAAAGACCTCGGGGGCGTACCAGGGATACTCAGATGGTTCCCCGGTCATACCTATTTTTATCCCAGGCCTACAGGCTAAACCGTAGTCGATAATACTAATTTTGGGGTCACTGTTAAGTCCTTCTATCATAATATTGTTTTCCTTTAAGTCATTATGAACGAAATGTGCTTCGTGAATCTCCTGTAGTCTACATCCTATTTTATAAATTATGTCGAGGGCGTCTGAGCGGTTGTTCTGCACATCACTGAGACTTTTATCACCCTTAAACTCCATAACTATTGCTGGAGGATCCGTAAATGATCTTAATAGCCTTGGAGCACCTCCTTTCCCTTTCAGTGCTGAAAGGATTTTTTTTTCATCTTCTAAAGCCTCATAATCGAGAGAAGATTTAGCTCTTTTAAGAGCAGCTGGCGTCCCATTCCAGCTTACTAGAGCGACATCCCCATAACTTCCAGAGCCGAGAATCCTCAGCTTGTTATCCCAAAGGGAGTCAAAACTCACTCTTGCTGGTCTATCTCGATCCATCGCTTCCTGATACAATATTTACGAATTTATCACCGACGTTGGGTTATATAAACCAGGAGTTAAAAAAACACTACTTTTCTTCCCAACACTCTTGGTCAGATCTTGAAACTATTTTTTCTCTTCGTCACTTGGTAAGAATCGCAAAACATTAATATTTTAGCTTAATTTAGTACCGATTTTAGTAGTAACAGTAAAGTTGACAATAATAGTGACATTGGAACAAATTATAGAAGTGACAATAATAGTGATAGTGGTGACAATGATATTGATAGTGATGATAATTATAGTGGTCACAATGATAGTGGTGATAGTGACAGTGCCAGTAATAGTGTAATAGTGTCGAGACTAGTAGTAAGAGTTAAGAGTGGTAGTAATAGTAGTGTTAGAGTGGTACTAATAGTGTTGAGAGTGATAGTAATAGTGTTGAAAGTTGTAGTAATAGTGTTGAGAGTTGTAGTAATAGTGTTGAGAGTTGTAGTAATAGTGTTGAGAGTGGGAGTAATAATGTTGAGAGTGGTAGTAATACTGTTGAGACTAGTAGTAATAGTGTTGAGAGTGGTAGTAATAGTGTTGAGAGTGGTAGTAATAGTGTTGATAGTGGTAGTAATAGTGTTGAGAGTGGCAGTAATAGTGTTGAGAGTGGTAGTAATACTGTTGAGACTAGTAGTAATAGTGTTGAGAGTGGTAGTAATAGTGTTGAGAGTGGTAGTAATAGTGTTGATAGTGGTAGTAATAGTGTTGAGAGTGGCAGTAATAGTGTTGAGTGGTAGTAATAGTGTTGAGAGTGGTAGTAATAGTGTTGAGAGTGGTAGTAATAGTGTTGAGTGGTAGTAATAGTGTTGAGAGTGGCAGTAATAGTGTTGAGTGGTAGTAATAGTGTTGAGAGTGCTAGTAATAGTGTTGAGAGTGGTAGTAATAGTGTTGAGAGTGGTAGTAATAGTGTTGAGTGGTAGTAATAGTGTTGAGAGTGGCAGTAATAGTGTTGAGAGTGGTAGTAATAGTGTTGAGAGTGGTAGTAATAGTGTTGAGAGTGGTAGTAATAGTGTTGAGAGTGGTAGTAATAGTGTTGAGAGTGGTAGTAATAGTGTTGAGAGTGGTAGTAATAGTATTGAGAGTGGTAGTAATAGTGTTGATAGTGGTAGTAATAGTGTTGAGAGTGGTAGTAATAGTGTTGAGAGTGGCAGTAATAGTGTTGAGAGTGGTAGTAATAGTGTTGAGAGTGGTAGTAATAGTGTTGAGAGTGGTAGTAATAGTGTTGAGAGTGGTAGTAATAGTGTTGAGAGTGGTAGTAATAGTGTTGAGAGTGGTAGTAATAGTGTTGAGAGTGGTAGTAATAGTGTTGATAGTGGTAGTAATAGTGTTGAGAGTGGTAGTAATAGTGTTGAGAGTGGTAGTAATAGTGTTGAGAGTGGTAGTAATAGTGTTGATAGTGGTAGTAATAGTGTTGATAGTGGTAGTAATAGTGTTGATAGTGGTAGTAATAGTGTTGATAGTGGTAGTAATAGTGTTGATAGTGGTAGTAATAGTGTTGATAGTGGTAGTAATAGTGTTGAGAGTGGCAGTAATAGTGTTGAGAGTGGCAGTAATAGTGTGGTATTTTTGTAACTTTTGTAGTGTTTTTAATTGTTTTTATAGTGTCTTTGGAGTGTTTATTGTAGTGCTTTTTGTAGCGTTCTGTATTTTTTTTAGTTTTTGGTGTTTCTGTAGTGTAGTGTTTTCAGTATTTTTGTAGTGTTCTAGTAGAATTTATGTAGTGTTTTTCTAGTGTTTTTAGTGTTTTGTAGTTTCTGTTGTGTTTTGTAGTTTTATTGCTTTTTGCAATATTTTGTTGTATTTTGCAGAGTTATAGTGTTCTTTGTAGTATTTTTCTTGTTGCTCTAGTATTTTTTAGTGTGTTTTTGTAGAGTTTATGTAGTCCTTTTTCATAATGTTTTTGTAGTTTGTAGGTATTTTTGTAGTATTTTGTAGTGGTTTTGAAATGTTTTGTTATTTTTTGTAGTGTTTTCGTAATGTTCTGTAATTTTTTTTTTGTAGTTTTTGAAGTGTTTTTTAGTTTATGTTATGTTTTTATAGTTTTTCTAGTGTTTTCGTAGATTTTATTGAAGTTTTTTGTTATAGTGGTTCAGTAGTATTTTTGCAGTCTTCTTGTAGCGGCTCTGTAGTGTTTTGCAGTCTTTTTTGTATTATTCTTGTAAGTATTTTTGGTAATTTTTAGTGTTTTTTATATTTTTTGTAGTGTATTGTAACAGTGTGTGGTGTGAATATCATTTTGAGAATTCTGAGGAGGGATTTTTGAGGAGGTGAGGACATTTAAAGAGGATGGAGTAAAATAAGACGACTAGAATGGCGTATAGATCCTGAGGCGGAGGTAAGGATTGGTAGGGGTTGTTCTGGACAAGGCTGTAGGTTAAGGATAAAGGAGGCTTTGAGTGCTAACGGCTTGGACATGTAGCAGTCTTGTGCCAGCGTGTTAGATAGATGTGAGTGGAGGCAAGAGGTTTTCATGAATGGACGTTCTGTTGGAGTGCAAGCAAAGTAACATTTATGAAAGAATTCAGAGAAGCTGATTAACTGGGGATGAGTCCATGAGGTGGGAAGCAGAGTGCCTACACTCTGAAGGAATGGTGGGGGGATGTTGCAGTTTTGAGACTCATCTGAATTGTGATGTCGGCACATATGTAGAAAGGAAAAAGTGATTGAATGAATTACGGTGAAAGTGTTTTCTTCTCTTTTTTTTGAGGGGGGGGGGGGAAGGGTGACCCTACATCGGTGGTAGACAGCCTATGAGTTAAAAATAAATTTTGGAAACATACACTTACTTTCCACTGTGTCTTGTTTTCTTTCCATGACGGGACTTAACTTTCCAGCGATGAGTCATGATGACACTGTGGGCAGAATTATTATTATTATTATTGTTATTATCACTATTACAGAATTATTATTATTATTATTGTTATTATCACTATTAGACTGATAATATCACTATTATTATTTTATTATCATTATTAGATTGGTATTAATATCCCTATTTTATTATTATTATTATTATTATTATTATTATTATTATTATAATAATAATAATAATTATTATAATTATTATTATTATAATTATTATTATTATTATTATTATTACTATCATCATCATCTGGCCATTAACTTCTGATATCTCTCATTATAAAGAAGTTTTCGTCCACAGAACTGCCGCTCACTGGATGTTTTGTGTTTCTCACACCATTCTATGTAACTCTAGAGACTGTTGTGTGTGAAAAACTCAGATCAGCAGTTTATAAGTTACTGTCTGGCACCAACAATCATTCCACTGTCAAAGTCACACAGATCACATTTCTTCCCCATTCTGATGTTCAGTCTGAACCTGAACCTCTTGAACATGTCTGCATGCTTTTAGGCACTGAGGTGCTGCCACATGCTTGGCTGTGGATTCAAATTGGATAAGTTTAGATTTTGGAAAGGATACGGTAGAGTATAGGTTTGGAAATAGGGTAGTTGATGAGTGGAACAGTCTGCCTAGTAGGGTGATTGAAGCTAAGATCGTGGGTAATTTCAAGGGGTTGAATTTGAGTGGAACTTGCACATGAGTAATTAGATTTATCAAATCTTATTGTTAGGGTAGCACTGAAGGTGGGTTGGGCAAATATTCTGTTAGTGGGGTGAATTTGTTGAAGACCTCCCCAGTATGGGCCAAAAGGCCTACTGCAGTGTTCCTCCTTTCTTTTGTTCTTACAATTGCATTAACGAGCAGGAATACATGTGTACCCAATAAAGTGGCCACTGAGTGTATATATGTATATGTATAGCTGCATGTTGCAATAAGATCACAGTAAACAAGTGATATGCAAAATAACCACAGAGAAAAAGCAGTGAACTTCCAAGCGCTTTCGTGACTTCTCACATTATGAGAGAAATCACGAAAGTGCTTGGAAGTTCATTATCTTTTTCACAGTGGTTGTTTTGCGTATTTATATTGTATATGTGCTGTAAAGTATTCTTATACTTAGTTATTCACTCTTTAGGAAGTCATTTTAAATATACTTTTAAATTCCCAGTAGAAATCATATCTTGATTATGTTTCTTTATCTAATTTCAGGATTTTTTTTTCATTATCTGAAAAAAATTAATCTCTTCCTTTATTACACTGGCTTTGGCAGCAGTAAATTCCAGTGAAAGAAATTAGTAAAATAAGGAAGAGTTAAGTGAATGAAAGCTCTGACAGTTGTTTTCTCTCGAGGGCCTTGTTAGCACTGTGTCTCGTGGAGCAGACGGAGGGTCGAGCCTTCACTACTTAATGCTCTGAAGGATTCACAAGGTTTTTTACCCTTTCACCTACAATATTGTTAGCTAATTAAATGCCATTTTCCTGCCTAAAACTAACACAAACCTGCTTAGATATATAGCTTACATGTATAGCTTAGATACATAGCTTACATGTATAGCTTAGATACATAGTTTACATGTATAACTTAGATACATAGCTTACATGTATAGCTTAGATACATAGTTTACATGTATAGCTTAGATACATAGCTTACATGTATAGCTTAGATATATAGCTTACATGTATAGCTTAGATACATAGCTTACATGTATAGCTTAGATATATAGCTTACATGTATAGCTTAGATACATAGCTTACATGTATAGCTTAGATACATAGCTTACATGTATAGCTTAGATACATAGTTTACATGTATAGCTTAGATACATAGCTTACATGTATAGCTTAGATATATAGCTTACATGTATAGCTTAGATACATAGCTTACATGTATAGCTTAGATATATAGCTTACATGTATAGCTTAGATACATAGCTTACATGTATAGCTTAGATATATAGCTTACATGTATAGCTTAGATACATAGCTTACATGTATAGCTTAGATATATAGCTTACATGTATAGCTTAGATACATAGCTTACATGTATAGCTTAGATACATAGTTTACATGTATAGCTTATATACATAGTTTACATGTATAACTTAGATACATAGCTTACATGTATAGCTTACATACATAGCTTACATGTATAGCTTAGATACATAGTTTACATGTATAACTTAGATACATAGCTTACATGTATAGCTTATATACATAGTTTATATGTATAAC